GTCGCTCTCGCTTTTATCACAGGCTTTCCAGCTTTCAAGAGTACGCGCAAGGGAATCCAAAGGAGTGTCTTCATCCACTACCTGGCTGAGAACCTCAAGAATTATGCCAACACTTCTCCACGACCAAGTCTATCTTCCATTCTGCTCAAAGTCAGCAGGGAAGTGGCAGTCCTCTACGAAAGCAATACTCATGACAGATATAACGAAAATAAACAAGTTCCTTACATCCACTCGACGCTACTCCGTGAGATTTACGTCTAAGTGTATGCCTTCTTGACAGCGTGAGACATTCGGCATTACTCCCTCTGTGTTTTCCTCATCCTTTCAGTGATTTTAAAGGATCGATAATCTCTGCTTCTTTGGTTTCTGATTGTTCGGTGCTTGTTAAATGTGATGAGTTGTTCTAATATTTGAAAGAAATTGTTGTCGTCAAGGTTCTTGCCAGTACTATTATTAGTTACTAGATAAATGAGACTTGATCTATATTTTTTTTTCTCGTGATCAAAAACAGCATTTTCCTCAATTTACTAAATTTTCGCTTCTATTACAAGGTTGTTGATAGTACAAATTCAGACTACTGAAGAGCATCAGATCAGCTCAAAGCGTACCAAAAGTTATGAAAATCAAATCATTTACTTGAGGCGCTTCATTTGCTAATGTCGATGACCATTTCTTGTCCAATTTATCCACACACACACACACACACACACACACACACACACACACACACACACACACACATACACACACACATACACATACACATACACACACACACACACGCACGCACGCACACACACACACACACACACACACACACACACACACACACACACACACACACACACACGCACACACACACACGGGCGTAACAATGGGCAACGCTAACTAAAATCAAGATCGAATAAAAATTTCTCATTTCAACTACGGGGAGATGTGATACATTACTGCAACTGAAAGAATGACCGCGACGTGAGAAGGCTTCCTCCCTCCGGACCACATGCGCGTCCTATCGTGCTTCCTTCGTATCACTTGCATGTATCCTACACTATGTAGGATACATTTCGCTAAGAAATTATCTCCGCATCGTTGTGCAACAGGGCAAGAACACGTGATGGACTAACAGAAGCATAGAAAAATCTTGACTGCATCATGGCAAACAAATGTGTCAATCTTGGAACAAGTTATAAACTCAGGTAGCTGGTAGAAAAAGCTAAGAGTGATATATAAAGCTTTTACAGATCGCTGGGGGCACAGAAAAGCTCTGCCATGGGTACCTTTCCAACCAAAGAAGTATTTCTTTGATGACCATTAAAGAAGTGACCGGATAAAACTCCTTTAATAAAAGGACACCTACCTATGGAGAATAGCGAATAGGGTTCGGAGAGCTATAGTAATTTAGTGCACCATCTTTTTGGGATAAAGACGAGTTGTGGTTAGTAAGGACTTACTATTAAGTTTATCTGTTTAGGATTGTATGTAACTATGTAATGGAACAACTCATGTACTAGGTTTCGTAATGTTTGAAGGATTATTAGAGAAGGAGCATAAGATTAATTTCATATTTGCTTTAATGTAGTTTTCATTTCAAGTATGTGCTAACTACCTTTTTATTTGGATGTATAATTGATTTATTCACTGATAATGGAGATATACTTTTACATTTGTTTCATATAGCTTTGGTAATGGGTTTTTAATATCATTTTCTTGACATGTAAACCATTTATGCACAAAAATGTATACTCTAATCTTTTGATTTATTATTTGTTTGTGAGAATAATTCTATCAATTTGTTAGTATGTGATTTAGCCACTACAAGTAATACATATGTCTTATATCTGACTAGCTACTGAAAGTCTAGTACATTTTGATTCTTTTTTCATAGTTTTAGTATTTGCTTCGTTGTATGAGCATTTAGTTGAAAGTTATCTATTCAAAACTGACTCATGAAAGTTCACTGCAGTTTGGTTATAACGTTGTGTTGTAAAGAACTAACATGTATTACTGGCACACGTATTCATTTGATTGGCATTGCACTGGTTATCTGATTAACTTATTGATATTAACCAAGTGCCGCCGGGGAAAATTAATAAAAAATGGGGAAAATGCTGTGCTCATTTTTTGATCATTTTTGTGAATCTTGCCTGATTTGAATTTGAGGGGAAAAGTACTTTTTACAGGTGCTATGAATATCGTGTTATGGTGTTATTTTTATTATACACATTATAATTACTATAATACTATAAAAAAACTGTAACAACAAAATAAGATAACGTAAAATATTTTCGTAAATCAAAGAAAAGGGTAAACGAGCGAGATAGGCAGTACTCGTACTTGGCTCATTGGTGACTTAGTACAAGTGTAGCCATATATGTGGAAAAACAATTAAACAAGTAAACTTACAATGGGCATGGTATACACGTATACGTCATGCCTGTCGGCATTGGGTTAAAAGTCTTTTATAGAGCTAACTTACACGTAAATTCAGCTAGAAGTAAATGACAAGAACATAGTACATCGTGATTTATTGATTGAATTTTGGCATTTATTCTGGCACCTGTTCCCACTGAACATCCGTAGAATCAGTGTAATTTTCACTCAGAGAGGGGCTGGGTAACCACCGTGGAGCCTGATGAATATAATATAGAGAAGGCAATATAACTTGTATAACCAATACTTTTCACTAACTTATGTGAAGAAGCAGGATGATGGCTTAGAGAAGAGTGAAGCTAGTGATCACGTGGCAGCACTGTGCATCATGCCCAAATTATGATATTTCACACCAGATGATACAAAGTAGCCAAATAAGTACTTCTTTCAAGGTATAAAATCAAATGAAATATAGATATAGAATCCAGCTTATGATTTTATTAATATTTGTAAACAAAGCAACGAAATAACAATTTGATCATTTGACCTAAAACTGAATAAATAACTTTTCAACTGAGAGAGGACAATGTAGTCAACTTGAAGGGATTTCTACCAAATGAAACCTCCTCAACACTATAGGGGAGCTTATTCCTATCATAGGCTTCGTATTCTTGAATTAAGTTATAGTTATAGATATAAGAAAATGGGCTACTTGAACACAAAATCCTATACAGATCTTGCTTGCATGCACAAGTGATCTCGATCACTTTAAGTAAAAAAAGAAAAAAGAAAGAAAAATTATGGTATTAAAAGTCAGGTTTGACTTGAGGTTTTACAGCACCCTTATAAGGTTCTCTGGATATATCCTCTTCACAAAACACAGAAAAAGGATTTCATTTCATTTCATGCAGTATTCGTGCTAATCTATTAATCTATTAATTACCTTTTACCTTAATACTCCCAATAAGACATTTCTTCGTGTGTATGTGTGCGTGTACGATTATCTATCTATACATATATACATTCGTATATATACATATATATATACATATATATATATATATATATATATATATATATATATATATATATATATATATATATATATATATATATATATATATATATATATATATATATATATATATATATATATGTATATGTATATGCACACATATACATCTGCATATATATATTCACATATACATACATATACAAGCCCAAACATTCTCGATTAGGGTGGGTGTGGCACAGCGTAACCTCGGGGCGTTGCCGAAATCTCGCCTTCACGACACTGCTCGCGTGGAAGGGGCTGTCATCCTGGACGAGGCAAAATGGCTCCGGCTCGGCGAAGAGCATGGCCCTCACCGATGCCAGAAACATCTCGTCCAGAATTTCCACATAGGTATACCCCGTAAATCTTTACCCCGTAAAGGTTATTCCTATCATAGGCTTCGTATTCTTGAATGAAGTAATAATTATAAAATATAAGAAAATGGGCTACTTGATCTCGAACACTTTATGTAAAAAAATAATTAATTGATTAACAAAAATATTACACGTCAGGTTTGACTTGGGGTTTTACAAGACCCTTATAAGGTTCTCGGGATATATCCTTCTCTTCACAAGGCACAGAAAAAAATAGCTGACAGTCTGCGTGCTGTAGCCAGCAGAACAAAAGGGGTTCGGATCTCTTGTAGTAGTTGTGGATTGTTAAAAAAAAATAAGAAGAAGAGTTGCTTGGTGTCGCTGGATCCACAAGCGACAAAGTTGGCTTCGAAATAACTAATCTCGATGCTTCGGAACTTGAAAGTCCCTCAGAGTAAAGCGTAATTATGGCGCTCAAATGGTCTAAGACAGTGGTTCCCAACCCTGGGGTCGCGACCCCAAATGGGGTCGCCAAGCGTTTTTCCTGGGGTCGCCAAGTCCTCGAACTTAAAACGGTCAATTTTCAATTCTAGGATATACAATCACATATTAGTTGAGGGATAGTTGCGAATTTTTGCTTGTGTATTATATAATTATTCAAATGTAGTAGTCCTGACTGTCAATGCTGTAACTGTCTCTAGCTACTGGAGGCTACAGCCAGACAACGTATTATAATAAAAAAAATCTAAGCCATTTAGTTGATCTCTTAGTAAAGATTAGTAAAGAAAAATACCAGTCCTTGGATGCGAGGCTGTGAAAATGTTGTTGCCTTTCGCTACAACCTATTTGTGTGAATCGGGATTTGCAGCTCTGACTGCCATCAAAACAAGATATAGAAATCGACTGCAACCCGAGCATGATTTGAGGGTAGCACTTTCCAAGACTGAACCACGAATAGAGAAACTTAGCAACATGATCCAGGCCCAAGGCTCCCATTGAAATTCATTTATCATTTCACAGAAAACAGGTACTCCTTTTAGTTTATTTTTTGAGGAATGTGACAGAATATTACTTTAGAAGTGGTTGTTTTGATTAATGTCAGGCTTTAAAATTCACAATGCTGTAGTTCTAATAAAATTCAATTATGTTACTTTTGTCTTTCACAACCTTACAGTATCTCTCTTACACATACTCATAATAGTTGTCGTTCCTTACTTTTATAGCCGACAACTAGTAATATATAGTTTTAATAACACATAGATATGCAACTAAATTATTGGGGTCGCGGTCCTATCTTGAAAAACATAATTGGGGTCACCTGAAAAAAAGGTTGGGAACCACTGGTCTAAGAGGTCCCATTGCTAATATTGGCATGATACGAGGCCCTTGCCATACCAACTCCGAAACACCATTCGAACACATTATGATGCTTCAACTGTTTCGAGCTTTGAAAACAACAAGTACCAACATATCCGAATCAACTCCTTGCGATCGCTTCAGTTCCATCTACTCCTGAGTATTTTTTTTTACCGACTATACATATATGTATATGCACATATATAGACATATATATGCACATATATATGTATATATATGTATATATGTGCATATATATACATATAAATAATATATGTACATATACATGTACATATGTGTATGTATATGTATATATATATATATATATATATATATATATATATATATATACATATATATGTATATATACATACATACATATATATATATATTTATATATATATATAATACTTGTATGAATATGTATGCACACACACACACATCTATCTATCTATATATATATGTGTGTGTGTGTGTGTGTGTGTGTGTAAATATAAATATATATGTATATATATTTTTACAAATATATGTATATATCTGAATAAATATATATAAATATGTATGTATATATGTATATATACATATATGTA